ACCGTTCTGGGGGTTGTTCACGCAGGCACAGAGGGCGCTGCACACCGAGCTCCACAGCTGGTAGCGCTGCTCCGTGTGCGCATCCGACAGCTCCAGCTCACACCCGGACAGGGTTGTTCTGTCAGGGACAAACAAGGCCCCGGGAGTCAAGGAAAGGTCACTCCTCATCAGAGTACCCCGTGTGTTCGACTGCTGTGTGTTTACCTGAAGAGCTGCAGCAGCAGGCTGATGCAGCCCGTGTCTCTGACATAGGTTTGCCCGTTTTCTACAAGAGAACACACACAAGACTCCACGGACATGGGCAACTTGAGACAAAATCTTAATGTCAGGTTTGATTTACAGACATACATTTCATTTCCTAAGCATAGATCCTCCACAAAAACAAATACAAAATCACATCAACACGTTGGTGAAAGCATTCCATTTCTTTCTGTCTTTTTCTACACATTGTCAGAAACTACTGGTTTGCATCACAATTTTTTAAACTGTATTTTTAAAACTAAACCACTTTCTGCTGTTTAAAGAAAACTCAGTGAGCAATTACCTACTTAGACAACTCAGGTTCAGTCACATGCAAACACTCATCTTTATAAATTCACTTTACCAAAACATTACTAATTGAAAATCCGAATTTTGCAGGGCAGATTGGCAAACAGAAAAAAGTGGTGGTGTAACACAGGGAAAAAACCCAACTTACTATTATTTGAAACCAGTACTAAGATGACATAAACAGACATTCTTTTCAAGTTCACACCAGAATCCTTATTAATTAAAAATAAAATGAGGTCTTCAAACAATGCAGAAGTACAGGAAGTCTGTTGACAATACACTGAAAACAGAAAATGAACACCATTAAGTCCTAAAGTAAGTTGCTCATAATCCTAAATTATTAAGTCTGCGTTGTGGCCAGTACTGGGGAGTGGAGACAAAACAGGACTATAAAGTGACCGAGGGCTTCCCCTCGGGGTGAGTTCCAAACCAACCAGGGCTTGGCAAACTCTGGGACAATCTGAGTCATTCAACACTTGCTGCTGAGGAGGAGGAGGAGCTCAGCTGTCTGGGAACAAGCAGAAGTGCTGCCTGCACAAATCAGCAGGGAACTGCATCACATCCAGGCATGGACAGTGCAACAGTGGTGCCTTTACTGCCCCTTGCTCCAACTGATCATCTTGTAATCTGATTTTCTGAGGCCAAAAAAAAAAAGTGGAGACAAAGCACAAGAGAAGTACTTCTCATTCAGAAATACAAAAAATATTGCTTCATATTACCATTACTCTCTATAATAATGCCCAGTGTAAACAAAGCTGCTTCCTTTACTATGCCATGAGCACTTGATTTGGCAAGGTCATTTATAAACATCAAACCACCAATTTCTCGAAAATATTCACTTGCTTCACCTACAACAGAGAAAAACAACAAAAATTAACCTTTAGCTTTTGTGTCCTTGTAAATTGAAAGCCTCCCAAGATTTTACAAATTCTCAAGTCTTAAATCCTTTAGACAATTCTTTTACAGTGACCAGCACTTCTTAACATACATGGTGAACATAAATGTTTCCAAGGAAAAACATTTCTTACTGTTTTGTTGACAAATTGAGTAAATAGTGATCAAAGCTTCCTTCTGAGACAGAGGGCAGTCCATCTGATATTTAAGGCATTCAAGTAGTAAGTTCAGATCTGTTTTCATATCTAAGAGCAAACACAAAAAACTTCATGACAATTGTTATGTTTCTATATATTAATCTGTTCAGTATCACAGAAAAACTGTCCAAAAATGTAGTGTGCACAAGTATAAAAAAAAAAGGGTGAGCAAAAACAAAGCTACACCACTTCTATCCATCCATAAATAACAAACATACTTAACCAAGAAATATTCCTGTCCAGAGTTTGTTATTTGAGAATGATTTCCTTTGGCCTTTAATCACTAGTAACCGTTAGGAAATGTGATGTAGATTACTAAATATTCAATTCACAATTGCAAGGTGCATTCAGTGTAAAGTGAATAATCCAGGACCATTACAATGTTCAGAGTGAAAATACAGTTGAAAATCTACAGAGTGACAGGGAAAGAGTCCAAACAGCACAAGGCTGGAACGTGGTGTTGAGTTGCAGGAGACATGGTCATGCAGCACAGCAGCACAGGCTTGAATTAGCTGGTTACTGAGGTTACACAGAGCATTTTCTGGGCACCTACATACAGCCCTAGGTAAGTAAAAACTTGGAAAACCTGTTTCTTAAGCTTTGGGTTATAATAAAAAGCTTATTTGGTAATTATTTGCAAAAGTAACAGCAGTTGTATATTGTAAACTCTTGTGAGATTGGGAGTTTCTCAAAAAAGTTATAATACAATAAAATGTAGGTAAATATTAGCAATTTTTTAAAAAAAAAGGTAACCTTGTGGTGTGATTTACTATTTGAATATTTGTCATTAGATTTGCCCTTTAGGTATCCAATACAGCATCCAAAATTCAGAAAAAGAGCATTTTCCCAACAGCTCCCTCCCCAGCCAGGCCTATCACAGTCTACTAAAGATTTGTAGAGTTGATGCAGATAATAAATGACAAATTCTCTTGGGTATCTTACCACACTGATTCTTCTGCACCTTTTCAGTGTCCATTTTTGGTTGTATCTCTGTTCCTGTTCTACAACAGCAAGGAAAAAGCATTGTCATTTCTGTTCAGATTAGCAGTGTTTATAACACATGCAGTATAAATTACATCATTTTTCTTACCATGCATTCTTTCCAGTTTTCTGGTTTTACTCTGTCATCTGACACACACACAGTTTAATGTTCTCTTGCATGGCAAAGATTTCCTTTGGAAATGCAGTATTTTATAATAGCCCTGCATTTGTAATACTGTGTTAACATCTGAAAGTTAACATTTTGCAGGAATCAGGTGTTACCATTGTGGGGGCACCATCAATGTCTCTGTGTCATTGATCCCAATAAAGCTGATCCAATTTCCCTTCCAATAGTTGCCAACTTTGTCATCAGCCAACAACTTGCACTAAAAGCACCAAGAAATGTTACATAGAGGGTGAACATACAAAACCTTCAGCTGCTGCTCAGGGAGCCACTAAACCATAACTTTTATTGGCACTGGTCAAACCAAAACCAATGCTGAGACATGATTCCTTAAACTAAGAATTAATTTTAATTCACCAAAGACTTTACATGAACCATGTAACCCACAAACCCCAGAGTACTGATTCTTCACAAACCTGATGTGCCAGGATCTGGGATTTAATTGAACAGCAGGGTGACATTTAGGTTTGGAGAGAGAAAGATGATCCCTCAAACATGTCCCAAGCCCCACACACAAAAGGTTGATTCAACCATCACAGTAACCTATTTCAATTTCTCAAAAACTATTTAGCTCCAGGTAGAAACTTTAAATCACTGATAAATTCAGCTTAATACTGGATTAGTTTTCCTTCTCGAAGTGGAGCAGAGGCTCTAAACAGCATCAGTGTCCTCTTGATGAAGACAGCCAGCCCTGCTTTCCATTTAGAGTTTAGGATTGTCCCCATTCCTTTGATGTTTCCATTAAGAGGGAAAATTTAAAAAGAGCACATCTTCCTTTACCCTTTCAGAAGTCATAATATATATATGTATTTCATTTTCTTGCAAATCCAACCCTGCCACAGGGAAAAGCTTGTAAGTCTTCCTCACCTCTTATTGCCCCTTCTGCTACCACCCTGCCAGCCTAAGAGAAAACAAAACCCCTACATGTTCCCTAGCAAAAGGAAGGCTGTAAAAATCAGCTAACTCTGGAGCTAATTGCATTTTAGTAGAGTTTAATTATATACACATTTATACAATTAAGGAGACTTTAATATAAGAAGTACAAGGTTTTAAAAACTGTATAGAAAGATACATCTTGACCTTACCTGGGTCTGTTTTTTTGCAACCTACAGAAGGTACACAAAGCAATATTTATAAGCCAGCCTACATTAAATGCAAATAGCTCGACTCTGTTGTTGCATCACAGGGCAAAGACAAAAAGACAAGCTACAAGATTTGCTGCAATGATCTTTTGGCTAATGTTGCATATAAAACAAATCACCCATCGGTTATGGAAAATAACCCAGTAACATCCCTTCAAACCTCAAAAAACCACTCAGAGCAGTGCAGGTCCGTCAATCTATTTGTTCAGCAGCACTGGAGCACACGGGCCAACCAGCCAGCCTCGGTGGGATTTATCCTCGGACCAAACCCGCTGTTGGTGTTCCGTGGACACCAACACTCCCAGCAGCAGCGAGGCCGTGAGGGCACTGGGCAGGGCACCAGGGCTTTGAGGTGTTCCTGCCCTGCTTCAGCTCCCTCCCTCAGAGGAGCCGTGTGAGCCACAGCTCCGTACCACAGCCCGCTCTGGAGGCTTTGCGAGCGCTCCACATCGTCCCGAATATAAAGCGGAAAGAACATGTAAAAGACTTTTTAAAAAAAAGGAACAAAAAAAAAGGCGAACAGCATAAAGATGAAACAGCAGCAGCATTCATCTGTGAGAGGGTGGGGAGCACCGAGAAGTGCGAGATGGGGCACGGATCGCGTACCTGTGACCCGGCAGCGGGGGTAGCTCTGGGCACACACCGAGGCGAT